TTCCCCCTCCAAAGCTTGTAACACAAGTAATAAAGAAAATGCAAAATGATACTGCTATTGGTACATTGCTGATACCGTGTTGGCACTCTGCTGCATTTGGCCAATTATTTGTCCCAGTGGGGGCGATTTCGCGTATATTTGTACGTGCCAGTAAGGTACTTCCACGTTTTAATGTGGTACATGGTTCGAAGCGCTATATGGGTATTTTTAGTGGCGGAACGCTACTTTTTGATTTGGTAGCTCTACGTATACACTTTGAGTAATCAATGTAAACCATGATGCAATGATATGAGTTGAGACTCATTTGACTGTTTTTTTTTGCAGGTTTAAATTTATCCACATCTGTAACACGGGAAATTGGTGAAAGCTCGTCAACAATGCATCCGGAGCTGACCCGGTTATCTTCACAGTTACCCAGTTATCTTTTGATGTCCGGCAGTGACAATACAACGAAGAAGTATTTTTTCTACTTTCAAAAGTGGCGGACTTTTATCGAGGATAAGTATGAGTTGACATTGCCAGCGAACGCTGTTCATGTTTCTTTATTCATCACACACCTTTTAGAAAGTAATGCCTCTGCCGGGGTTATTTTGAGTTGTATTTACGCAATTAAGTGGGCCCATGTTACAGGTGGGCATCCTGATCCTACGATTCATCCTTTTGTAGTCAGCCAGTATTATAACGTGATTTAACTATGATTTTATTATGCTTTTCTGCCTTTCTCAGGTTTGACGAAGTAAGTTCGTTGCGATGTCACAGTTTTTGACAGCCACATTGCTATAAATATTACTCGCAGTAAAACTGACCAGTATCGTGAGGGCAATTCTGTAGTTGTTGCAACAATTGATTCGGTAGCATGCCCAGTGTCGATGTTACGGAGATGCGTAAAAGCAGCATCGATTGATTTGAGTGATTCATTGTTTTTGTTTGGGCCCATGGTTAGGTCAGGAGTTAAATGTGCATTTGTTAAACACAATAAAAAGCTCAGTTACACCAGGGCTAGAGAAACTATAGTGCGTCGTCTTAAAGAGGTTGGAGGGGCGAATTTGTCCTTCGGGTTGCACTCCTTGCGATCGGGAGGCGCTACAGCTGCCGCTAATGTGGGGGTTGGTGATAGGTGCTGGAAGCGCCATGGCCGTTGGAGGTCAGAGTCAGCTAAGGATGGGTATGTGATGGACTCGCTAACTAGCCGTTTGGCAATGTCGAAGAATTTGGGATTGTAAATCTGTTACAAGCTCCCCTTTTCCCGTTCTTTTATTATTCTATGTGGCTAAATCCTGCAACCTTACCTTACCTTTTTCCTGGGCGGCTGTGTGCCAAACAAAGGGGGAATATGCATTTTGTTTCAGTTAATTTTCATCTTCAAGTTTATTACTAACTTTTCAGTAATGCGAACTTAAGTTGTTTCTTTATTGCGTTTTTGTATAGTACAAATAAATGGTTGGTCGGACTGTCATGTGGCTAAATCCTGCAACCTTACCTTATTGATACCGTGTATTGCGTATTATTGAGTGGATGAGTAGTCTACTGAAGACAGTGTACTGTACTGTGCGAATCATTTGAAAAGCAACATTTTAATTCGCAGTGGGGCAGATTTGACGCTTGAAGGGCGGTGTTCGTTTCGCAGAGCATGTGGGAAATTTGTTGTATTCATAAACGTTGATTATCCCCGACAATCCGATGCGTCTTCTAATTACGTATACTTGTTTCAATCTCTACGTCGAAATCTGTATTTATAATTGACCCTTACTTCGCGCATGCGTGGCGCGACATTTTTCCAAGCACATATATTAGTTTTAACATCGTTTATTTTATCTCCACTATCAGTTAAACAAATATTTCAATTAATTTGTTCGCACAATGAATTGAGCTACGTGCAAGATTGCTCAATAAGCACATGTACCGGCATGCTCTTACATTCATACATGATCCATTTTGTATGGAGAAGGTCCACTGACAACAACTAACAATGACTCGTTTTATCCGGAAACGTATTCGTATAGTTTTTATTTTCGTGGTGTCTGCTTTGTTTGGCATAGTAACCGTTCTCTATAATAACGGCAGTCTTAGACATTCCAAGTCAAATCAAGAATGTAAACTAGTGCAACGGCCTCCGGGAAATTCATATTCAATAAAAAAATATTTGCTGGTCAAATGGCAACATTAAGTATAGGGGTATTTTTTTTGATATTGGTATTATAAGTTCATTTATCAAAATACACTGGTATCTGCTAAAATATGAAAGTCCGTGTTTTACTGATTGAATGAAAGTTAGTAAATTATAACCCATTTTAATAAATGATATCAGTAATAGAGACAATAAGATGCGCGTACGAGAACGAAACGAGGACGGATACGTCATTACTTTGTGCATGACCTCTTCGCGAACCAATGACGTCATCGGTTGCCATGTCGTACGGCAGTCGTTTTGAACGTGATCAGGACGAGCGACTGGTATTTGATTTCTGAGAGATTTTCTCGCTGTCATTTTTGATTATTTTTACTGACATTGATAGGACGTATTATATTAGAGTAATTTTGTACATTTATGGTGAAATAAGAAATATTGGGTGCATTTTAGCTGATATTTACACCTACTGAAATTGTAAACAACTGGTCAGCTCGTTATGCAAACAAAACATTCTACGGCGTTTATGTTCACTTTGTCGAAAATTGACGCATACTTATCGGTTTAAAGTAGAACCATGTATTGTTCTTAAATCATGTCAGAATGGTCACTCCCGCGAAGAGACATCTATTTTGATGGATGGTATCACATGATATTGATCTTCTGAAAGAGGTTTCGGTAGACAGGCCTGAGACCTCAGCAGAGTGGATGGAAATAGCAAGAGTTCTGTTAAATGTCTTGGAACTAACTACCAAATCAGACTCCGGTCGTGAAATAACATAACAAATTGTGTTGGATAGTTATATTATTATTATATTACATAAATCTGTTTAAGTTACGTTTCCGTTGTGGGCGCTTGTACTTAATCGTTTTCTGACACCCGAGAACGTAACGCAAACGAAATTAGAACATCACGTTACGTTCCAGCTTGTCGCATACGACTTATTTACCACTTCCGTGTCACTGAGAATGTTCTAGAACCGTACTGTGTCTGGGTGAAATATTCTAGATTTTTTTTTAGAAACTGGTTGAATAGGTAATAGAACACTGTAGGAGGCAATAGAAGGTAATGGAACATTCTAGAAATTTATAGTAAATTCCAGACTCATTATGTATGCTGATGTAATGGTCTATTTATAGACAGTGTGGGTATATATAGGGGAGTTGTTCAGCACTGAGTTCAGATCGGAGATCTCGTTGAATTGTATTGGAGTTTAAGTATCTAGTCATTGGAGTAGTGGAGTTTTACCGCGTTATTTTACTTGATGTTTGCAGAGTATAATAATACCAGTACCAGTTGAAACCTCATCTGTTGCCTCCGTGTTCGTATTTTATCATCACCGCCAGGGAAGTCTTTCTGTTTCTGTTACTGTTGCCATTTTGGTATTTGAACCATCACACCTGTACTATATGA